GCACCTGAGTAGAACGACCAACGTTCTGCACGGTAGTTAGAAAACTTTCTTACATAAAAAATTGAAACATTGAAGTCACTTATGGTCTCGTACCTACTTCATGTAGTATATAAAACAGAACGCAGCCTCCAAAATCCATAGCATTTGATTGACAAAATGAGTATTATTAAAATATCATTTTATTTTAAACACAAACATGCAAGCACACATATCCATGAACTCATGTTTTTAAAGCATCTTTAAATGAAAGTCCAAGATAGGCATAACTTTACTAAAATTTCTTACATGTATATGTAACAAGGTTACCTTGTATAAACTACGTTACGTTATATAACAGGTCTTATTCCCATATGGGTTCTTCAAATTATCCGACTTTTAATTTTGATTGCATGTAAAACTGCGGAATATCTTTGTCCATATGTAGATAATTTGATAATTTAAATACATGCAGTTAGTTTTGGGACCCTGGCAGATGTTTCATACCAAATATCATGTGGCAGAAAAATACTTTAAACTTTCCGTGATTTAAAAAATCAACTTGCATCAAAACCAGCGTTTTTTCTCCAAATTTGATTATTTAAACAACATTTTGCAAGGAACATATATTTCCAACTTACTCCTAACTTCTTGTTTGTTTTTTATATTCATACTAGGTTTAGACAGTCATTTATATATTCCAACAAATAAATTAAATGAAAGAATAATTTTTGCGCGACGTACTCACAAAATCTTCTTTTCTTTTTTGAATAATCCTGTTTTCATCAAACTGTAAGCATAATGATACATTGCAAAACAGGTCCCAAGGTTCTCATTTAAATTAATAAAATGTATAACTATGAAAAAAAATCACTCACATTATAATTTGAATTAAATTTTCATATATTTTATTTTAGAATTATTTCAAAGACAGAAATTGTGTGTGTACCGTATTTTTTTAAATAACAGTGTGCTCCGTACCATTTCAACATAACTTTATGAAAATATGCTTAAACATCACTGCATTTACACGATACATTGGACATAGTAAATATATCAGATTTAACATGTATTTTTCTATGAAATAGTGACAAAAAACATATGACTTGCTTGTTATGACAAATGAGTGTGTACCGTTCCCCTCGGCCCCGGCTATGAGAAGAAAACTGTACTCGAATGTTCTCAAAAACCATTCAGGGGTTTTCAGAATTTTGATATACCGTGGAAAGCTGATATAATTACGGGTACTCTGCGCCTTATCTGATCAAAATCGGGTGAGTAATAAATAATAAAAAACATACTTGAATCAGGTAAAAATCGCGTGCTCCGTACCCGAAAAGTCACGTGGTAGGGCCACATTGATTTATAGAGTAGAAAGGAAAACCCTATAAATTATGATTCATCATGGAAGATATTTAAAGGGTTTTTGTCTGTTTTGAGAAGTGAAAAAACTGTAATGTCTGTGAAAATGTTGATTTTTTTTTTTTTTTTTTTTTTTTTTTTTTGAGGCCCCAACTGGGTAACCCCGTTTATTCACCCGAGGGTCGGGGTCATCCCCTTAATTATACATGTATATCACACATTTTCTCATTTTTATATGAAATATTTAGCTTATTCACGTAACCCACATTTTATGCCCCCACAAAGTGGGAGCATATAGCGTTGCACTTGTCCGTCCGTCTGTCCGTCCGTAAGTCCGTACGTCCCGAAATCTTGTAAACGCAACTCTTCTTAAACCGGATGGCAGATTTTGCTTAAACTTACAGGGATGAACAACCTTAATGTGTAGATGATAGTAAAGGAAGGAATTTTTGCTGCGACCAAATCTAACAGAATTATGGCCCTTTGTTTTTTTTCAAAATTGATTTTTGTCCAGAGCATAACTCCAAAAGCCTTTGAGATATCAACATGAAACTTCATAGGTGCATAGATCTCACTCAGGAGATGTGCAGTGCACAAGAATGATAACTCTACCTTTCATAATTTTTGAGTTATTGCCCTTTGTTATTTTTCATACTTAATTTTTCACCTGAGCGGAGCATAACTCAAAAAGTGTTTGAGATATCAACATGAAAGGTCATAGGTGGATAGATCTTATTGAGGAGGAATGTTGTGCGCAAGAATGATAACTCTTCCCTATACAATTTTTGAGTTATTGCCCTTTGTTCTTTTTCATGCTATTTTGTCCAGAGCTTATCTCAAAAAGTATTTGAGGTATCAACTTGAAACTTCAAAGGTAGATGGATCTTATTGAGGAGGAGTGCAGTGCTTAAGAATGATAACTCTACCCTGCATTATTTTTGAGTTATTGCCCTTTGTTATTTTTCAAGATTAATTTTTGTCCAGAGCATAACTCAAAAAGCCTTTGAGATATCAAAATGAAACTTCATAGGTGCATAGATCTCACTCAGGAGGTGTGCAGTGCACACAAATGATAACTCTACCTTTTATAATTTTTGAGTTATTGCCCTTTGTTATTTTTCATACATAATTTTTCACCCGAGTGGAGCATAACTCAAAAGTGTTTGAGATGTCAACATGAAATGTCATAGGTGGATAGATTTTATTGAGGAGGAATGCTGTGCAAAAGAATGATAACTCTTCCCTGTACAATTTTTTAGTTATTGCCCTTTGTTCTTTTTCATACTATTTTGTCCGGAGCTTATCTCAAAAAGTATTTGAGGTATCAACTTGAAACTTCATAGGTGGATGGATCTCATTGAGGAGGAGTGCAGTGCACAATAATGATAAATTTACCCTGCATAAATGTTTAGTTATTGCCCTTTTTCATTTTTCAAAATTAATTTTTGTCCAGAGCATAACTATAGATCTAACTCAGGAGGTGTGCCGTGCACAAGAATGATATCTCTTCCTTTTATAATTTTTGAGTTATTGCCCTTTCTTATTTTTCATACTTAATTGTTCAATTCAATTTTTTTCTCAAAAAGTATTTGAGGTATCAACTTGAAACTTCATAGGTGGATAGATTTTACTGAGGAGGGATGCAGCGCACAAGAATGATAACCTACCCTGCATTATTTTTCAGTTATTGCCCTTTGTTTTTTTCAGCCATCAGTATTCACATAGGTTTCAAATCTGTAATCACTATAGCCATCAGTTTTCATTACCAAAAGGCCTCTTAAAATGAAATTATTCTGCTCTACTACATATACATTCTTCCAATGAGCAAACACATTGGCGGGGGATGGCCATGTTGACATGGCTCTTGTTCTACTTATTCATGATGCCACCGCAGCATCTGCGATGAGGTGGCATATAGCGATTCACCTGTTTGTTTGTGTGTGTGTTTGTTTGTGTGTGTGTGTTCTATAGATTATATAGTGAACTTAAAAATCTTCTTGTGAAAAACCACTTGTCCAATTTCAACCAAACTTGGGTGAAGGGCTTCCAAAGTTGTTCAAAGAATTTCATTCCATGCAGAAATCTTAAACCAAAAGGAATTATAAGAATAAATTAAAAAAAATCTTCTTGTAAAGACCCAAAAGGTTTAGAGCTTAGATATTTTGCATAAGGCATTGTCTGGTAGACCTCTACCAAGATTGTTCAAATTATAGCCCTGGGGTCAAAATTGGCTTCGCCCCCGGGGGTCATTGATTTTCACTATATGTACATATAGAAAAAACTTAAAATACCTTCTTGTCTTGGAGGTTTGATATTTGGTATATGATATCATCTATAGGTACTTATATGTATATAGTAAAAACTTAAAAAAATTTATCTTCTCGAAATTTACAAATGCTAGATGTTAGATATTTTGCATTTTGTAGTGAACCTCTATCAAGATTGTTCAAATTTTGCCTCTAGTGTCAAAATTAGCCCCGCCCTGGGGGTCATAGGTTTTCCTTATATGTATATAGTAAAAAATAAAAAAATCGTCTTCTCTAAATTGACAAAGGCTGGAGGTTAGATATTTTGCAAGAAGCATTGTGTATTGAACCTCTACCAAGATTGTACAAATTTTAGCCCTGGAGTCAAAATTGGCCCCACCCCGGGGGTCATTGATTTTCACTATGTACATATAGTAAAAATTTAAAAAATCTTCTTGTCTGAAAGTACAAGGCTTAGAACTTTGATATTCTTCTCTGAATTGACAAAGGCTAGAGGTTAAATATTTGGCATGAGACTTTGCGTAGTGAACCTCTACCAAGATTGTTCAAATTATAGCCCTGGGGTCAAAATTAGCCCCCACCCGGGGCCATTGATTCTCATTATGTACACATAGTAAATCAGAAACTAAAACAAATGTTTTCTGAATTGGAGAAAGCTAAGGCTTAGATATTTGACATGAAACGTTTTTTGGTGGACCTGTATCAAAATTGTTTTGAATTAAACCCTTGGATTAAAATTTTGCATTGCCCAAGGGGACAGTGACCTACTTTCTTGTCCTTGGATGTACAGCTATGAAATTTTGACCATGTGCACAGTTTTAGTTGTAAAATTGAACTTTGATATCAGGTGACCTAGATTTTGATGATGTGACCTACTTTCTTGTCCTTTGATGTACTGCTTTGAAATTTGAACCATGTGCACAGATTAAGATGCAAAGTGAACTTTGATATCAGCTGACCTAGAGTTTAATAAAGTGTCTTACTGTGTTGTCCTTTGATGAAGTCATGAAATTTAATCATGAAATGTGACCTTCACAACCAAATTCACTAGACTCAACTGTCTGTCGGGCTTTTGTCCATTTCCCAATTTACGAAACCATAATACTTTGAAAATAGATAGAAAAACTGTTAATAATTATTAACACTTTGACTTATTTATGTTGTCATTAAATTTGCAAGTTGTAAATATAGGTAATGAAGGTTGTATGCCACTATGTAAATTTTAGAATTAATTTGGTTGCTGATCAATGCCCCCCCCCCCATAGTCATCCTGAGAAAATTTGATCTTTCAATTATCTGTTGTATAAACATAATTTCCTTATTTAGGCAGTTCATTCATGTCATCTACAATTGCCTTATTGAATTTGCTTATATTTTACATTTTCTTAATTATAGTTGAGGTTGCAAGTGGTGCTGGTGGTGGAAGAAGGTCAAAGGTCAAGGACATTGCCATGAAACCAAATGAAGAAATGTGTGACAATGAATAGACAACAAAAGATGCTTAAATGTCATGATCTGTTGATAATCTACTTTAAAAGGATTTACTGTTAAAGTACTACTTAAGCTAACAATTAACACTTCTTTATAAAGACTAGATTTGAAATACATTTCTTTCAGGACTTTCATTTATTCTGTACCATAATCATATGATAAAGAGATTATCATTTTTTCTTTTTTGAATGTTTTTAGCTTTAAACTTTTGTCATGGCAAGTTGTCCATCCTCATTTGTTCATAGTTGGCCACAATTTCTTTTAACAACATCTCCGAAACCACCAAACTTCACAGGAATGACCTTAAGTAGTCATCTAAAAAAGTTATATAAAAGTTTCATTCTGACACATGCTTAGGTCACAGGAGCAAAAATAGACTTTAAAAAAGATATCTTTTAAAAGTGTGTAAGACAAAAACCCTTTTAGACAAAATCCCTCCCATCCAAAAATGACAGGGTGGACAAAAGCCCTCCTGTGAAAATGACATGGTGGACAAAAGCCCTCCTGTGAAAATGACAGGGCGGACAAAAGTCTATATACAGGTTTCATGATGGTCTGCATTTTTTTAAACTGGTGGAAGGAAATTGAAACTACTGAGCATTAATAGCTATAATTAGATGATATGCAATGCACAGGTTTGACCTTCCTCAGGTCAAGGTCACACTTAGTCCTTTTGTATCAATGTATAAATTTTGTGTCAGAATAGTGGGATACTACGTCATTGGCACCTGCTTATGCTCCAACTCAAACCATTTTAGCTCACCTGAGCACAAAGTGCTCAAGCTGAGCTTTTGTGATCACAATTTGTCCTGTGTGGGTCCGTTCATCAACTTTTTGTGCCCCCACATTAGTGGCGGGCATTTAGATTTACCCTTGTCCATCCGTCCTTCCGTCCGTCCGTTCTCTTTTGTGTCGCACGTAACTCAAAAAGTATTTAACCTAGAGTCATGAAACTTTACAGGAATGTTGATCAGCATGTGTCGTTGTACACCTGGGTATTTTCGTCTGGATATTTTTAGTATTTTTAGAGTTAATGCCCTTGATTTAGTAAAATTTTGCAATTTTCAACTTGTGTTGCATGTAACTCAAAAAGTATTTGTTCTAGACTCATGAAACTTTACAGGAATGTTGATCAGTATGTGTAGTTGTGCACCTGGGTATTTACGTCTGTATATTTTTAGTATTTTTAGAGTTATTGCCCTTGACTTAGTAAAATTTTGCAATTTTCAACTTGTGTCGCATGTAACTCAAAAAGTATTTGACCTAGAGTCATGATATTTTACAGGAATGTTGATCAGCATGTGTAGTTGTGCACCTGGGTATTTTCGTCTAGATATTTTTAGAGTTATTGCCCTTGACTTAGTAAAATGTTTGCAATTTTCAACTTGTGTCAAAGGATTTGACATAGAGTCATGAAACTTTACAGGAATATTGATCAGCATGTGTAGTTGTGCACCTGAGTATTTTCATCTGGATTTATTTAGTATTTTTAGAGTTATTGCCCTTGACTTAGAAAATGTTTGCAATTTTCAACTTGAGTCGCATGTAACTCAAAAAGGATTTGACATAGAGTCATTAAACCTTATGGGAAGGTTGCTCAGCATATTTAGTTTTGCTCCTGGGGTTTCGCTTGTGGATTTATCCATTATTTGTAGAGTTATTTCCCTTGACTTAGTAAAAACTGTTTCATTATGTTGTTATTTGTTCCTTGAGTGCTTGAGTTAGAATCGACCAACTTTACAGGAATAATGATCAACATCACTAAATTACAGGAATAATGATTCACATCACTGTGAAGCTATGAACCTGGGACTTTGCATGTGGATTTTTTTCAGTTTTGTTAGAGTTATTGCCCTTAACTTACAGTAGTATAAATTTGCAATTTTCAACTTGGGGTTTGCTTGGGGGATTTATTGAGTATTTGTAAAGTTCTTGCCTTTTACTTAGTAAAAAGATTTTTAGTTTTCAAAAAATATTTGACCTAGAGTCATAAGATTGACAGAACAGTGGCGCGGTGGGGGCACCCATGTCCTATGGACACATTTCTAGTTATACAAATGACTTCTTCTCAGAAACCACTGTGCCAAATTTGATGAGATTTTCCAGGGATGTTCATAGCATGAAGCTCTACTAAAATTGTTCTTAAAATGAAATCTTTAAAAATTCACTTCTATTAAAGTGCAAGGCCTAGAGCTTAGATATTTTGTGTGTAACACCATCTAATGAAACTCTTAAAAAATTGTTCAAATTATAGCCCTGGAGTCAAAACTGGCCTTGCCCCAGGGGGTCATTGATTTTCCTTATATGTATATAGTAAAAAATGATCTCTGTTTTGACAAAGGCTAGAGATTAGATATTTCGCATGAAACATTGTGTAATAGACCTCTACCAACATTGTTAAAATTATAGTCCTTGTGCCAAAATTGGACCCACCCCAGAAGGGGGGAGTCATAGGTTTTTAAGCTCGACTTTTTTTCTTTTTTTTTGAAAAAAAAACCAAGTACATGTAGAGGTATTGTTATAGTCCTGGCGGCGTTGCCGTTGTCGTCCGCAAACTTGTACCTGGATCTGGATCATAACTTTTTATATGCCAGAAAGAATTGGGCATATTATGTTATACCCCCTGGTGTCCGTCTGTATGTCTGCGCTCACAGGACAGTAATTATGTGGCTAGAGGGACAATGTCATTCATTCCGTAATGCTTTTATGCGGCTATTTTCTTTTGTGTGTAGAGAGAACAATAGAGTAGCCACACTATTACTCTCCTGTTAGAATGTCCATCCGCCCGTTAGCAATTTGGTTTCCAGAACATAACTTAAGTTCCATTTGTCCTACAATATGCAAACTTCATAGGATGATTTTCCATATTGGGTAGAAGACCCCTATTGATTTTGGGGTCACAAGGTCAAGGTCACTATTACCTTAAAACTGAAAACAGTTTCCGGAGAATAACTTAAGTTCCATTTGGCCCACAATATTCAAACTTCATAGGAAGATTGTCCTTATGGGTAGTAGACCCCTATTGATTTTGGGATCCCAAGGTCAAGGTCATTATTACTTTAAAACTGAAAACAGTTTTTGGAGCATAACTTAAGTTCCATTTGTCCCACAATATTCAAACTTCATAGGATGATTGTCCATATTGGGTAGAAGACCCCTATTGATATTTGGGTCCAAAGGTCAAGGTCACTATTACCTTAAAACTGAAAACAATTTCCAGAACATAACTTAAGTTCCATTTGGCCCACAGTGTTCAAACTTCATAGGATGATTGTCAATATTGGGTAGAAGTCCCCTATTGATTTTAGGGTCACAAAGTCAAAGGTCAAGGTCACTATTACTTTAAAATTGAAAACAGTTACCAGAACAAAACTTAAGTTCCATTTGGCCCTGAGTGTTTAAATTTCATAGGATGATTGTCTGTATTGGGTAGAACACCCCTGTTGATTTTGGGGTCACCAGGTCAAAGTTCTAGGTCACTATTACCTTAAAACTGAAAATAATTTCTGGAGCATAACTTAAGGTATTACCACTCTAACTGGCACTATAAGGAACTGAAAAATTGATATCATAGGTCAGATATATACCTTAAAGTACACCTGTATTCAAAATTTAAACAAACTTTACCGAACGGAAATCGAGTTATGGCTACTTTTATGAACTGAAGCTAGGGTGTATGAGGGCCCTTTTTCAGAAATGAGTAAACTTTAAATAATCTGCAATAACATTCTAATGAAAAACATTTTCCCTTTAATTTTTGGTAAGAAACATTCAGCTAACAATCAACATAAACAAAATTATGGTTTCTACTCCAAATTTATAAAATATGTATAAAAATGTTACCCTACCCCACCCTTTTTTGTCCCCCGCCTTTTCGAAGAAAAAAGGGGGATATAGAAATAGGCTCTGTCCGTCTGTCCGTCCGTCCGTCTGTCCGTCCGTCACACTTTCGTGTCCGGTCCATAACTTTGTCATTTATGAAAGGAATTTGAAATAACTTGGCACACAATGTTTATTATAATAAAGACGATGTGTTCATGCACAACAACAGACCCCTACCTCCAGGGTCAAGGTCACACATTGCTCATTCAAGGTCAAAATTGCCTATTGAGGGTATATGTCGTGTCCGGTCCATAACTTCTTATCTATGAAGGGATTTTGTAAATACTTGCCATAATTGTTCACAATAATCAGACGATGTGTCATGCGCAAAAACCAGTCACCTACCTTCAAGGTCAAGGTCACACTTGGAGGGTCAAATATTAACATAGTCTGTTACAGGGTATATTTCGTGTCCGGTCCATAACTTTCTTATCTATTGAAGGGATTTTTGTAAATACTTGCCATAATTGTTTCACAATTATCAGACAATGTGTCATGCGGAAAAAGCAGTCACCTACCTTCAAGGTCAAGGTCCACACTTGGAGGTCAAATATTAAAACATAGTCTGTTACAGGGTATAATTTCGTGTCCGGCGACCATAACTTCTTATCTATGAAGGGTTTTGTAAATACTTGCCATAATTGTTCATAATAATCAGACGATTGGATGTCATGCGCAAAAAACCAGTCACCTACCTTTCAAGGTCAAGGTCACACTGGAGGTCAAATATTAACCATAGTCTGTTACAGGGTATATTCGTGTCCGGTCATAACTTTGTCATTTATCAAAGGAATTTGAGGATATACTGGCACCAAATGTTTGTTATAATAAGAACGATGGCAGTGCGCCAACAACCAGACCTGTTACCTTTAGGTCAAGTCAGTACTTGTTCAGTCTTCAAGGTCAACATTGTCTATTTGAGGGTATATGTCATGTCAGTCCATAACTTTCTTATCTGATGAAGGACTTTTGTAAATACTTTGCCATAATTGTAACAATAATCAGATGATGTGTACACATGCGCAAAAAAACCGTCACCTACCTCTCAAGGTCAAGGTCACACTTGGAGGTCAAATACTTACATAGTCTGTTACAGGTCGTATATTTTGTGTCAGGGTCTATAATTTTTCAAAAATAGATCAAAGGATTGTGAAAATACTTCGCACAAATAGTCCACTATAATAAGATATGTCATGTGCAACACCCTGCATCCCTACCTCCAAGGTCAAGGTCACACTTAAGGTAAAAAATTAACATAGTCTGTTATAGGGTATATTTTTGTGTTGAATCTAGA